CTGCTAACTTCTTCACATCTAGTTGCAGTGCTGGCTTTCATCTTTGTATATAGCTTTGACTTGCATTACAGTGACTTTTTTTCCCTGTACAAAATGTCGTAATGGCAATGGAACTTGATGGCATCATTAGTGAGCTTCTCTCAAGAGCTGTGAGCATTCCTCCTCCAGTACATAGGGCCCTAAAACTTACATTTTCTTAAGTAGAATGTATTCACCTGCCTAGTACAAGACAGAGTATTTTCTCACTTATGCTTTATACTTACTGATTTCTTCTTATGGAACTTGTATGATGCTGGTAGGTCATATCTAAGTTCTGTGAACAGTACAAAGAATACTTGTTACACTAGAATGATAATTACTCAGTTGACTTAACAGCCTACTCCCATGTTGTTCTCTTTCTTCTACCGCCCACCCCAGTTTCCCCCAGCTAGATAACTGTTTTGACCTCTGGACTGGATTATTACTGGATGTTTAAGCTGACCATATCCAACAATATGTGGATGGCTGAAATACAGTTGTGCTTCAAGCATTTGTACAACTTCCATGTCTCAGGGTATATGACTGTATAGAACATCCAGCTGGTGATATTTAAGAATTGGGAAGATGCTTGAAAAACCGTCAGAAATATATTTAGGTGGCTATAAAGGAAGGGCAGGATGCTTAGTGTGAGAACTGTCCTGCAATTTTCTTTTGTCAGCAACAATCTCCTTTTGAAGCAGGGAGATCATAGATCACAGAATGGCCTAGGCTGGAAGGGACCTTAGAGATCACCTAGTCCAACCTCCCTGTCATGGGCAGGACGCCACCTCTCGACTAGATCAGGCAACACATGGGGACCAAACGGGAATCGAACCCACGATCTCGGTGTTGTCATTGTTGTCAGCACCGCGCTCAAACCACTGAGCTGAGATGGGTCACTAAATCTAATCCAGGAAGAAATCCAATTCTAATTCTGCACAGAAATATGAATTTCTTGGAGCTTTGTCACTTGTCTGCTTGTATCCTAGTCAGGTAGCAAGGTATAAAAAAAAAAAGTAAGGACTGTTTAAAAAAAGGCCTATGTCATTTTCAGCATTAAATCACACTTAAATTTACCTCAGGCTGTTAAGACTGGCTAGTAGACAGGTATTAGCCGCCAACAAAATGTTGGTGGTTGTTTGGGTTTTTTTGCTTTAACAAGAAAATAATCTTACCTGCTATGACTTCCATCTTCGCTTCCCATTCATCTGCCTTCTTTTGAATGTGCTACAATATTAAATAGATACAGGTACATTTAAAAGCCTGTCTTATAAATGTCTGTGTGCCTGTACTTATTTAAAAGTATCCCATACTTTTATTTTTCAAGCTGAAACATTAGATCACATACACACTTTGATGTATGTGAGCTCACGTTGTTTTACATGATTAGTATTTACACAAAACAAGTTTGATACCCTGTAAAGGTGTGAACAAATCAGTGAAGCTATAGCAAACATCATTAAATACCAGCTATTTCACTGCTTGGTTAATGCTCGCCCTGCTAAGAGGAAGTACTTGCCTGCCGTGTTGAAGTTTTGTGAAGGGAATATACAGCTGTTTTTGCCATTCGTAAAGCAGTTTTCAGAAAAATCATATCCATTCCTAAAAGAATAATGAAAGTATTAGAATTGTGAAATGCAAGCTTAAACAAGAGGATTTAAATATCTGCTTCATGCTTCATCTTTTCCGGAGTAACAACTGTTTGAGAAATAGCACTCAACACATTAAGGTACAGAAAGTATTTCCTCCTCAAGAAGGGAGACGTTTCATTAAAAATGTTTCCCTTGCTATTTCATTCATAATAGCTTCTAATCAACTTTCAGAATTACCAACCTTTATTATGCTTGGTACCAAATGGAGGGTTCATAATAACTGTGTCAAAAGTCTCGGACATGCTGTCAGATAAAGAACAGACATCGCACTGAACCATGTTGATGTTTGTGAGCTCAAAGTCTTCAATGTTGCTATTAAATATTTTCAGTGCATCTGCATCTATGTCAAACCCCACACACAATCTATTAAAGAAAAAAAAGTCATGTATTAGTCTCCTGCAAACTAAAATGGTGTTTAATTCTATAGTATAGTTTTGAAAGGGATCTGTGTACACAACTTGTTTTACGTAGGAAATGTAACAAGCATACACTGTAAATTCAGTGCTGATAAAAATTTGAGTAGCTCTGTTGCCCTTTCTCAAATATAATTTTAAAGTTTGTGAAGAAGTTTCATATGTTCATTTAGTGCTTCAAGGGGAAAGCAAACATGCCTTCCAAAGTCATTGCAACTGTGCATTTCTTCCACTATCTGAATGATTACTGGCTGTCTAAACATATTAAATAGCCTCATTATGCAGTAGAGTAGATACCTAAAATTAGTTTAGTTCAGCATTGCTATGTTCTAATCTTATTTTCTACTCCTCTGAGACAGAAAACACAACCAGAACTTAGTCTTAAATACTCACCCTGCTCCTAACATTGCACTTCCAATGCTGAGCATGCCACAACCACATCCTAAATCTGCAATTGTTTTGTTTTCAATGTCATCAAAAGTATTGTGAATTGTATAAAGCATACATGCTGGGGAAAAAACAACAACAAACCCACAGATCAGTAATAGCAAATATGTATCTGATAAATTGAGAAAAGCTACTTCTGCTTTCAGAAAACTTTGAACTAAAGGTTTCTTGTCATGCAAAATTAAGGCAATATTCTCACTGCATGTAATTCTTTTTATTGTCTATATGTGAAAACAAGGCACAAACATTTTGAACAAGTTAGAGAATTCTACATCTTTGGTGGAGAGATCTCACACTGAGCTGTATTATTTGTGGAAAAAAATATGCCTCTAAATGATAAAAAACCCCAAACAATAGAAGGATGCAAAATACTGTAAAAAAAAAAAGTATGGCTGAGTGTCTGTGTATACACTTTTACTGGTTTTGTGTGTCACGACATAAGTCCATTTCAGCTTTACCTTTTACAGATCAAGACGTTTCTATCACATTAGCTTTTAAATCAATTGAATTGATTTTTGATTGTACAGCAACAGTATACTTATAATTAAGAGATTGTTAAAAAATAATTATATTCCCGACGGATATAATTTCTCAACTACTTTTAGTGTAAAGGCTTCAAAGGAGATAATGCTGTAGAAACATTTCCTTAAAATTTCATTTCAAAGTGCTGATAAAGAACTAGTAAAAGAGACACCGGAGCTGTAGGTAGCCTCTACCTGCGATGTGAGGTCTTGTCGGATACTGCTCAAGGAGTAGCTTTGGACTTTCAAAAGTATCAACTTGTTGCAGACAGCTTTCCAGTTCCTTCAGCTTTAACTTCTTCATGTTTACCGTTTAACTAAGGAAAATGACGTGCAATCAGTTCCAATAATATAAATAAGCTGTGCTTCATCTTGCATTATTTTACACACAAAACCCCACTGTACTCCTCGGCACCTTCCGGGCGTTCTCCTCCCCGCAGGACCCGGCTG